CCCCGCCCCGCCCGCCCCCATCCGATTTCGGTCCTTCGTATGTGATTGACGTGCGGTAGGTTGGGGGTAGGCCGGTACCAGTCCAAGTAGCCTGGGTCTAGGGCCTGTGCGGACAATAACAGAGCCTGCAATGATGTTTCCCTCCAAAAGGGAGGAGGTACCGGTCTTCGTATGTGATTTTTGGCAGTGATTGGGGATGGTTTCGGTCCTTCGTATGTGATTGACGTGCCGCCTCATCTGCGCACGTACCCAGTCTTCCATGCCTCGAAACTGTTTCCGCACATTGATGATGAGACTTTTCCCTTCCGACACCCTATGATACCTCGCCCTATCGATGGTGGCCATGAGATTGACAAAATCGTTTCTCACGAAGGGAGGGGGAGGAACAAACAATATAAAGTTCACTTCCTTTATCACCCGTTGAATGAATTTTTCTAGATCGATTGGAAAGAGCTGCTGAAGAGTGCGCCACGTGTTGTGAACGCTTATGAACGACAGATTGTTGATGGACAGACTGCCAAGTTTGCTGCAAAACTCACTCCGTTCAGTCTCACTAACACTCTCCTTTTGATCTATGCCTACGACGCCTTTTGTACCGACTCTGACTGAGTTACTCGCTTGAAGGGACCTCGCTCTCGAGAGGGGAGTAATGTAAGGACCCGCCAAAAACACAGACTGAGAACACTGCTGATTTCTGAGATTTGTCACTGGAATGGATGCCTTGTTGTGATTCCCGCATTCTGCTGTGGTTCCAAGTCTGTGTGTGTGTGCGTGCCTGCTGGTTGCATGCCTGTCTGAGTGCGGCACGTCAATCTGACAATTTCTTTATTTTTGGCAGTGATTGGGGATGATTTCAGTCCTTCGTATGTGATYGACGTGCCGCCTCATCTGCGCACGTACCCTGTCTTCCATGCCTCGAAACTGTTTCCGCACATTGATGATGAGACTTTTCCCTTCCGAGACCCAATGATACCTCGCCCTATCGATGGTGGCCATGAGACTGATAGAATCGTTTCTCACGAAGGGAGGAGGCGGCACATCAATCTGACAATTTCTTTATTTTTGGCAGTGATTGGGGATGATTTCGGTCCTTCGTATGTGATCGACGTGCCGCCTCATCTGCGCACGTACCCAGTCTTCCATGCCTCGAAACTGTTTCCGCACATTGATGATGAGACTTTTCCCTTCCGAGACCCTATGATACCTCGCCCTATCGATGGTGGCCATGAGATTGACAGAATCATTTCTCACGAAGGGAGGGGGAGGAACAGACAATATAAAGTTCACTTCCTCTATCACCCGTTGAATGAATTTTTCTGGATCGATCGGAAAGAGCTGCTGAAGAGTGCGCCACGTGTTGTGAACGCTTATGAACGACAGATTGTTGACGGACAGACTGCCAAGTTTGCTGCAAAACTCACTCCGTTCGGTCTCACTAACACTCTCCTTTTGATCTATGCCTACGACGCCTTTTGTACCGACTCTGACTAAGTTACTCGCTCGAAGGGACCTCGCTCTCGAGAGGGGAGTAATGTAAGGACCCGCCAAAAACACAGACTGAAAACACTGCCGATTTCTGGGATTTGTCATTGGAATGGATGCCTTGTTGTGATTCCCGCATTCTGTTGTGGTTCCAAGTCTGTGTGTGTGTGCGTGCCTGCTGGTTGCATGCCTGCTGGTTGCATGCCTGTCTGAGTGCTTGCTGGTTGTGTGTGTGTGCGTACATGCCTGTCTGAGTGCTTGCCGGTTGGGTATGTGTGTGTTTGACCCGCAAGGGTACTTGTTGGTTGCAAGGCCCACCGGGCCGGTACTTACCTGGACTCTGGAGGGTTGCAGGGGGGTAAACACGCCGGTAGCAGGAGGTAGGCCCACGACACTTAGAGCAGCTGGGGAAAACACTCGAGTAGCAGGTAGGCCGAGCAGAAGAAGACAAAAAGTTGGCATTTTTAGAGGTCCAGTAGCGGTAGGTTGGGGGTAGGCCGGTACCAGTCCAAGCAGCCCGGGTCTAGGGCCTGTGCGGACAATAACAGAGCCTGCAATGATGTTTCCCTCCAAAAGGGAGGAGGTACCGGTTGCCTGGGAGGCCGCTTGGCCTGGAAAGTCACCGCCCAGGAGGCCGATAGGCCACTATATCTTCAGGGAGAGCGGAAGGCTCTTCCTCATTTGCAGTGTGCAAGGATTGGCGACATGCTGCTGGAGCACAGCGCTGGAGGTACAGCGCTGCTAGGAGGGAGAAGGGCAGCTGGGAGCTCAGCCTGGCTATGGCGAGCAACCCAGTTTGAGGAGGAGGAAGAAGGGGACATGGTAGGAGAGTGGCAGGGCACTTACCTGGCTATGGTGGACACCATCTTCATCACCTTGTTGGGCGCTGCATCTGGAAGGCCCCAGTTGGGGTAGCGCTGCACCAGAGCAGCTCAAGGCAGAGTCAGGCATAGCGGACCGAGTCAAGCAGCGGCATAGCCGCTTTGGGTTGTCTTGGGACATCAGCGCAGCATCATAGCTGCCACCCAGTAGTCCGCCATGGCTTATGCATGAGAGAGGAGGTTGAAGGAGGGAAGACATAGCCATGGTGGACTTGTTGTTGTTGTTGTTGTTGTGAGTTGAGTCAGCAGTAAGGGGGAACTTCGGACATTGATTCTGGTTCATCCATTCCTTGTTATTATTATTATTGAGAGAAGAATAAGATTGGTGAAAAGAAGGAGGAAGGAGGAAGGTGGAGAGAGAAGGGGGAATTGTCATTGGTCTTGCTGGTGTACTTCTTCTTCTTCTTCTTCTTCTTTTTCTTCTTCTTCTTCTTCTTCTTCTTACGTCTCCTCTGGTCTTTATCCCTTTGCAAGTGCTTTCATTTCTTTCGCAATTGGGTGGCATTGTCTTTCATTGTGAATTTGCACTTGGGAAATGACCAGGATCGTAACACCCTGCTTTTTCCCGCTTTTTCGCCCGAAAACGCCCGAAAAACAGCCGAAAACCCGACTGTCCGGTTTTGTTGTTTCTCCCTGTTGTGCGGTGTGGTGGGTGGGAGCGGGGAACGTTCCCGCTCCGATACCAATGTAGTGGACCCACCAGGTGTGGTGCTCCGCTAGTGGTAGAGATGGAGATGGAGGAAGAAGGGGGAGCGAGATGCACAGCGCAGCTCCCACGCTGGACTCCAACGCACGTACTCCAAAATCGTGCAACTGTAGAATGAGAGCAAAAACAGACAACTGCTGGGTTATAACCCAGCGGACTGACGGGACTGGACTGGACTGGCTGGTACCGACAGAGGTACCAGCCTGGACTGGACTGGACTGCCCCCGAATAGAACACAGGCCTGTGAGAACAGGCCAAGGAGCTGGTCTCACAGGCCAACCAACCAGAGGTCCGCTACACCCTTGGAATTAACACAATGAACAACCGCCCCTAGCGCCTACCATTTTTTCGTTCGATCTGAGGCTGTTCCCGTTGCGGCCGGCCGTGGTGACGGGATACGGTATTAGGCCTCGGCGCGCTCCTTTTCACACTAAGCAATTGACGAGGGAAGCGACCCTCAATTTTTATTAATTCTAACAACTAAATTAACATTGGAAAAAAAAAAATTAAAGATAATAAAAGGAAAGAAAACAGATGATTATTAATTATTTGATTAATTTTTGATGGAATTCATTCTTGATGGAATTTTGACTGAAAAACAATTATTTATCTTGTGTCCATTGATCCGTACGAGTCCTTTGATTTCCTCGATCCACGTGATTACTGCCCCCGCAATAGCCAAGCGTTATTGAGTGAGCGGGTCCAATTTTCGGTTACGGCAACATGGTCGGTATGGTGCGGCAGCAGGTTCTACTTTGGGATGAACCACGCGGCTTTCTTATTTTGGTGTGTACACAGGTTCGGAACAGGCATGGTACTGGGCGTTTTGGTATTTCCTGACATGGTACTCCAGTCCACTTCGGGACCGTTGCGGTTCTCTTAATTGGCACCTGCACGACACTGAGACACGCCATTGCAGCTCGAAACATTTATTTCAGGTACAATTATTGGATCGGCATGGCCTATCTGTAGTTCGACAAAATTATTACGGGGCGCTGGCCCTGGGGTACCGGGCCCAAGCCTTCGGTACCAATGAACCCCGGCTGCTGGCGGGGGTAATATTCCAGTTTTGTGGGCCTGGTGCTGCGGGTACGGGCGGTGCCAGCCTTCAGTTGTGAACAGGTACCACCAGCGGGGGACTGGGGTTTTCTCCCTGGCCTGAGGTCGCAGCCTGGAGGGAATATAGGGCAGACCAGCGAAGGACTGGGGGATTTTCGGCAGCGGGGGAGACCAGGGGGAACTGGGCGCACTAGGGCAGGCGACCGGGGTGAATGCAACTCACTGGTGCGGACATGGGTGCGTAACCATGGAGGAGAGAGAAGGAGGGAGAGAGACGATCAGGGGCATTTGGAGACTCAGGCGACCACAGGCGACCAGGAGGGAACCCAGCGCATGGACTGCGACCACAGGGAACAGAGCTGCCGTGTCTGTTGGACCCAGTGCCTGTCCGTAAGGTGCTGCTGCTAGCATGGTGATGGTCACAGAAGAGGTGATGTCAACCCTTACATGTGACGGGGGAGATTGACCCTCGCGGCTGAGCAACTATGAGGGAAGTTATGGAGAGAAGAAAAGAGAAAGAACCCGTATCCCCCTTTCGCATGTTGCAGGCACCTGACTTCAGCTTCGTCCAGGTACATTCAAGAATGAGCCAGGGAACTAGGAGAGAAAGTGAGAAAGAGAGTCAGGGGAGAGACCTCCTGCCTGTTCATGAGGTGCTGCTGCTGCCGTGACAACGGTTACAGGGGAGGGAATAACATCAGCAGGAGGGAGGTGACGTCAACTGACAGCCAGTTGATGACAGAAGACCAAGAAAATGATTGATGAATTTACCCATGTTTAAGCTAAAGGTTCATTCTCATTAGCCTCATCCGGTGAATGTTCGGGCAGCCTCGTTGGCTGCAATTGGCGAGAACTTGAAAGGGCAGCTTCTAGTGGGAAGATATGGGGGTTGATTGCCTGAGGGCTATCTTGAACGTGCCACAGAGAGAGATGGTATCTTCTCTATTTATAATTATAAGTGTTCTGCTCGTGGCACATCAAGATGAGTCTGCTAATCGGCTCCTATGACAGAACTGATGGTCTGAGCACACGGTAAGGAGAGATGTGAGTGAGCGATATAGCAGGAGAGATTGAGAGGGGGTAATAGAGATAATCAGAGAGAGAGAGAAACAGTGCAAGAGCCGGGGGATTATCCTGCGCAAGTGGAGACAGGGAGAGAGAGGAAGGAGGCTGTGTCGAGTGCGCGCACGTATAAGGGCGCATGTATCTGCGGGAGAGGAAAAGGTGAAGTGAGTCTGTGAGAGAGAGAGATCTGGAGAGTGACGCGTGAAGCTGCTGTCTACAGAAAATAAATAAATAAATAAATAAAAAGCGATGTA